CCCCCGTCTTTTCACTTTCTTGATAGTGTCATTTATTGTACAAGTTTTGAATTTTGACGAAGTCCAATTTATCTACTTTTCCTTTGGTTGCTTGTGCTTTAGGTGTCACGTCTCTGACACTTGTGTAAACCCAAGATGTAAGCATTTACATCTCTGTTTTCTGCTAGGAGTTGTATAGTTTTAGCTCTTATATTTAGATTTTTTATCTATTTTGGTTAATTTTTGTATAGGGTGTGAGGTAGAGGTCCAAATTCATTCTTTTGTATGTTGTTACCCAGTTGTTCATTTGTTGAAGAGGCTATTCTTTCCCCCTTTGAGTTGTCTTAGCATCCTTGTAAAAAATCAATTGACTGTAGGTATATAGGTTTATGTCTGAACTCTCAGTTCTATTCTATTGATCTATGTGGCTATCCTTATGCTAGTACCAGTCTTGAATGCAATAGCTTCATAATTAGCTTTGAAATGGGGAAGTGTGAGTCCTCAACTTTGGTTTTATTTTTCATGATTGTTTTGGCTATTCTGGTTCCCTTGCATTTCTATGTGAATTTTAGGATCAGCTTGTTAATTTCTGCCAAAATGGCAGTTGAAATTTTGATAAAGATTTCATGGAATCTGTAGATCAATTTAGGGAGTATTGTTATCTTAATAATAAATCTTCTAATCCATGAGCAAACAATGTCCTCCCATTTATTTAGGTCCTAATTTCTTTTCAAGATGTTTTATAGTTTTCTGTATCAAGTCTAGTACAGTACAGTAATACCTTGGTTTGCAAGCATAATTTGTTCCGGAAACAAATACTCGTATTGCAAGACATTGCTCGTTTACCAACTTAAAATGTATTAGAAATGTTTGCTTGTCTTCTGGAACACTCGCAAACCAAGTTACTCGCAATCCAAGGTTTCACTGTACTTCTTTTGTTAAATTTACTTCTAGGTACTTTATTCTCTTGGATGCTATTATAAATGGAGTTTTCTTAATTTCATTTTTGAATTGTTTATTGCTAGTGTATAGAAATACAATTGATCTTTTTATCTTGATCTTGTATCTCGAAACCTTGTTGGACTTGTTTATGAGCTCTAATAGTTTTGTGTGTATGTATTCCTTAGGGTTTCCTATATGTAACATCATTTCATCTGCAAATAGAAATAGTTTTACTTGCTTAATTGATTTGTCTAGAAAATCCAATACAGTGTTGAATCTGGGTAAAATGGACATTCTTGCCTTGTTCCTGATCTTAGGGAGAAAGCTTTCAGTCTTTCACCTTTAAGTATGGTGTTAGCTGTGGATTTTTCGTAAGATGCCCTTTATTAGGTTAAGGAAGTTCCCTTCTATTTCTACTTTATTGAGTGTTTTTATTATGAAAGTGTTGGATTTTGTCAGATGCTTTTTCTACATCTATTGAGATGATAATGTGGTTATTGTCCTTTATTTTATTAATATTGTTGTAGTACACTGACGATTTTCATATGTTAAACCATATTTTTATTTTTGGGGTAAATCACACCTGATCATGGTATATAATCCTTTTTATATGTTGCTGGGTTCTGTTTGCTGATATTTTGTTGAGGTTTTTTGTATCTATTTTCATAAGGGATATTGGTCTATAGTTTTTGTTTCTTCTGATAGCTGTAGGTTTTGTATTAAGGTAATACTCTCCTTACCGAATGAGTTGGGAAGTGTACCCTTCTATTTTTTGGAAGAGTTTATGAAAGGTTGGTATTAATTCTTCTTTAAACATTTGGTAGAATTCATCAGTGAAGCCACCTGATCTTGGACCTTTCTTTGTAGGGGTTCATTTTTTTTTTTAATACAAGGTGCAGAAGAGAATTTATAGTACAATCCCATTTGAAAGGGAGGGGGAGTCTTTTAAAGGCTATATCCATGTGCTTATATTTACACAGAAAAGTTCTGAAAAGATATGCAAGTAGCAAAGGTTACCTTTGAGGAATGAGATGGAGTTTATAGTCTTCAGTTCCTTTTTTTAAATTATGAGCATGTATTACTTTAAATTTTTTTTAAAAGACTGTTTAAAATGGCTAGCATTTGACCATTTGCTCTTTCACTCACACAGTGAGATGCTCAGGCTACGTACTTACCACTGGCCTGTCTCCTTAGGAACTCACAGTCTAGCAGTCTCTCTCTTTAGCTTCACAGTCTGCTGATCCTTCTCTATTTTATCCTCCATCAACACTGAATTACTTGTCAATTCCCTGAGAACAACTTACAGTTATATGCTGCTGTGCCTTTGTACATTCTGTACTATTCCCCTTCCTTGCCATTCCTTCCCCCTTTATCTGCCTAATTAATGTCTCTTAATCTCTGCTTATCTTTTTAAACCTCTTCCAAATATTAGTTACATCTCTTTGTTGAGCATCTCTTAGCTCACTCTCCTCCCTTTCATTTCTCACCCAAGGAGAAAACAAAATCGCTTCTTCCTGCTGCTTCTCATACAGGATGCATATTTTTGTTATTGAACTTTATATTTACCCTGCATCATAATTATGAGTTCACACATATGTCTTCCCTAAAAGTACAAGTTTATTCAATTTTGTGTTCCTGGAGCTTAGCACAATGCTTGGCACAAAATAGGTGTTCAAGAATATTTTAATTGAGTACACCTGAAACTAATATAACATTGTATGTTAGCTATATTTTAATTAAAATCTTTAAAAAATTAAAAATCTCTTAAAAAATGGGGAATATTTTAATTGAATTGAATTCATGAGATAAGAAAAGGCATTCTGGGTAGGATGAGCAATATGAGCAAAAGCCAGAGTTATGAATTACTGTAACATGAACTAGTTTGGCAAGACAGGAGGATTCATGCTGGGAAATAGACTGAATGGTTTTGGCAAGGCTGAGAATGGAGGCTCTTAAAAGCCAGTTAGAGCAGACATGAAAGGTAAATATTGGTGGAATGAAGAACTCTTCTCACTTCCTTCAAGTCTTTTCTCAAATTTCTCTTCTCCATAGGCTTACCCGGACCACCTTCTTTAAAACTGTCACCTCTCCATTCACCCATCCTCTTATCCCAGCAATCTTGACCTCCCTTTCCCTTACCTTCCTCGTTTTTCCATTGCACATATCACATTCTATGTAATTTACTTTTTCATTATGTTTTTTATTTATTGCTTATTTTCCCCTTTAGAATATAAACTTCCAAACTAAGCTAGGCTTGTTCACTGCTATTTCCCTAGCACCTAGCACATGTTCTGGCACATAGTAGGCACTCAGTAAACATTTGTTGAGTAAATGAATCCTAAATTAATGAACGTTAGTATCTTGTCTAGAGCTGGCATGAATAACTTAGGTATAGTTCAAATGACTTGCTTCTGAGAGAAATAAGTTTATTCTGTAAAACTGCTAAAATAGTGCTAGCTATTTGATATAATCTGGGGCAGGGCTGGGGGACAGGGAAGTTAGGGCAAGGGAGATGTATTGCCTTAAGGTTTCTTGCCTTAGAAACCAAATTGGGAAGTAAAAATTATAAATACATTTGAGTTTATTTATTTCTTGCTTAGAAAAATGTTTTGTGTGGTGATTAATTCCCATGCTTTAATAATTTCTCTTTTTCTTTCTCCACAGACCTTTGTAGTATTAAACAGAGGGAAAACTCTCTTCAGATTTAGTGCCACGCCTGCCTTGTACATTTTAAGTCCTTTTAACCTGATAAGAAGAATAGCTATTAAAATTTTGATACATTCATATCCTTTTCTGCAAATGTGGAGTGAATGCTGCAATTGCATGGCCACTGGTATGTGTTTCTGAATTTTGACAACTGAATTGTATATTAATTATTTTACCAATAGTGTAGTTGACTGTCCCACTAGTCAGAGGTTGAAGGATGGACTTCTGCCAAATCCAGAGCTGTGAGCTTTAGCACGTTCTTTTTTCTTAGGATGATATCATGGGAGTCTGGAATTTTTTTTGGTGTCATTTAGAGGGGAAAATTATGTTGGTAACCTTTTTCCGAAGTCTTACTTTTTAAAGTCCTCAGACTTTAGTAATTTCATTCTGAGGCAGTTTATTCAGTTTTTTAATGTATTGAAGTCCAATATTAGAATATTTTGAAAGCTTTTGGGGTTGTCAGAAAAGTCATAACGTATTTTTTTTTATGTTTTTTGTTGCAAAAATGCATCATGACTTTTCCGACAACCCAATACTTCTTGAATTATAAATAGTTGAATGAATGCTTTAGAGACTTGCCTTGAATATTTTTTATTTCTTGAACAGTGAGCTTAGCAAGTATCTGTGATGGTTTCTCAGATTAAATGGCCTCCTTGGTATACAGAGGTTTAGGTTTAGATGGCAGGGTTGATATGAATCTTTTCTGGTATTTTTATTTCCTTTAAACAGAAAATGCCAATTTATTCATGTGGTCTGACTTTTACATCTTATTGATATAAGAGATTGTATGACAGATGAAAATTTAAGTGATGGGTTTAGCAACTTTGCATAGTGACTTTAAACTCTTATTGTTGGTATTTAATTTGACAGTACTTAGTCCCATGCTTCAGAGAGTATTGTATCCTCCAAATAGGATGAGGAAACCAGCAGTTGCAATTTGGTTTATGAAGCTTTCATCACATTTTATTAACTCTTAAGAATGTAGCAACCTCATTCTAAAATCTGTGGTTTACCAGCAACATAGTTCTGAAACCTGAACAGGTTTTGAAGGAAATAAATAATTCACAATGGACGTCTTCCCTTTTTATTGGATCAGGAGATGGAGTGTTTTTTCTCTTCGAACCAGAACATGTTATTATTCCCTGAAGAAAAATCCAGCTGTAAGAAGTACTTTTTCTTTGTAAAACTCCACTAGTACAATGAAGACGGTGAATGCCATTAGGAAGACAGAGTGAGTTAGCAACAAATGAAATATGGTTCCTGTGCTTATTAAAGTGACAGTTTGAGTTTGAGTAACTCATACTGACCTAAAGCAGTTAAATTTTTCTCAGTAGACAAGAACAGAAAGGGTTGAGAAAGATCCTGGATGGATCTGAAATGACAACAATGGTTTGTTATCCGTAAACATTTCTGGGCACTTTCAGAATGAGCAGCTGAATTTGCGCCATTACCTAATTCTTAGGAAGATGGCAGTGCAGATGTCCGTGAAGTCCTTACCCAGCATGCCACGACATGTTTCCAAATCGGAGAAATTCACACACATTGGCTGTTGCCTTTCCCCCACCCCCACCCCCCAAGAACAAGTCAGCCCTTTGGAGGACTAGGGAAAAACTTGAACCATTAATTACATGTAGATTTTCAAATAACTAGTTATGTAAGACAATTAACTTAACAAAATGAGTAGTGAATAATGTAGGTTAGATTTAATTTATTTTCTAGCCTGACTTTGGAGTCTGGTAGACAGGCCGATTTTTGGTTACTATGCTCAAAGATATTCAGAGGCTTAATTCCATACATGAGGTAAAATAGTAAGAGAGGGGAATGTTTTATTTAAAAGGAGTAGAATAATGACAGCCTTTTTGAAAGACAGTGGCCATCCTGCTGTGTCCCTCCACAGTTCTCTGGTCAGCTGTGGATACACTCAGTGGAATTCTGTGGTGACCATGGTTTTCATTATCGCCTCCCCTTTTGCTCCTTTTCTGTGCTTTGCCTCCTTTCAGGTTATTGATTTAGAGCTCAGGATACTCGATGTGAAATGTGTTTGTTTTCTGAGGGAAAAAACAGGTCACATGCTGTATATTCTCCCTTGACTCTTCTCTACAGTATTTAGCATGATCATTATGTGCACTATTTTGACCAACTGTGTATTCATGACTTTTAGTAACCCTCCTGACTGGTCGAAGAATGTGGAGTAAGTAGCTCGTTTATTTATTTGTCTGCTTGTTTTATTCATTTTTAGTCACTGAACCTTGCTTTGCCACAGTTTATCCATCAAGGAAAAAAATTAATTATTGCCCATTCTTTATTTCGCAGAGAGGGGTGAGGATACATGTGGAATTTAGGAACCATCCTTAGTAGTCAACTCTAAAAAGAGAAAGTGTACTCTGGAAGTTACTACCCTTCACCTCTGCCCTGTGCTAGCTGGTGCTTTTGACTTGCTCCCCTCTCACCATCTTGTACCCTCAGTTCCTGATGATACTGCCTTCTTCTTCAATATTAATTTTCCCTTCATTTTGACTTGTCTGAAGTTAAAAATAGCTCTGGAGCCATCTCACCTGGTTTGAAATGACCACATACTAGATGGCGGGTGGTACAGAGTTATTTCTTTGCAGTACCTGTCAGGACCCAATACAACATTCCAAAGTTCTTGGTTTGTACATTTCAGTAAGTTTCAGTCAAAGCGCCCCTTTCTCTTCCTTACTTCCATTTTGCCGCATTGGCTATGCACTTTCTGTTTGTTCCCTGGCAAGTATTATCTTAAAAGATTCATTTAAAGTTTCTGTCTGTTCAGAACTTAAGCTATCCATTTCTTTGACAGGTACACGTTCACAGGGATTTATACATTTGAATCACTAGTGAAAATCATTGCAAGAGGTTTCTGCATAGACGGCTTTACCTTTTTACGAGATCCATGGAACTGGTTAGATTTCAGTGTCATCATGATGGCGTAAGTTCTCTGCTTATTTTATTGGTGTCCTGGGTGTGATTATGTGTGGGTGGTTTTACTCCTGGATGTGTTTGTAAGTGTGAGTTTATGGGCACAATTGTATGAGGAATTAATGGATAACCATGTAAGGCCACATGGGCTTATGCCTATGATTCTTGCTTGCAAGGGCTTCTTGTTCAGGCAATAACAACATGTGTATATGGGAGAAGGTGCGCAGAGACTTCACAGCTGAGAGAGAAGGTAGGAAGTGATTTCCCATTGACACTCTCTCATATTTTCTCCACCCTTGTAACATTGACCAAGGTTTGCACACTTATCACTAGTGGGCCTCGGTGAAGAGTTGAAGTGTTTTAGGTGTAAACCTTAAGCTGAAAATCAGTTTCCTGGGTATGTAATTTCATGATGCTGGCTAGATGTTACAGACTTCAGAGCACATTTTAGAGTCAAAACACGAGCCCAGGTATTCAAATGGTCACTTCTTGAATTACTGATCAGAACTTGAAACTATTGCTAGACAACAGTATAACTCCACATTGGTACACAGGCTGTTCTTAGTAATTTCTGTTGTTTTAACAATGAAAATGTATCCCTCGGAAACTTAGCTGAGAGTAGAAGAGTTATAGCAGATTTTATTGTTTTTGTTTCCAGGTTGGGAAAGCACTTTGTGGTCTGGTAGGGGGTAGGGGTGTTGTATAACCTGTGTGTGAATTTGGGTGTATACATGCACACGTGCAAGAGATTGAGTGAATTTCTGCATGGATGGGTCTGAGCATCAGATAGAAAGATGTATTTTAGCTGTAAATTGTGAATGAATGATATGCGCTGAATATCTGAAACTAGAACTTTGACTTTGTGTCATATTAAAGCGATTTCTAGGTTTCCAGCATTGTGAATACACATTAGTGTTCATTTAAAATTGAAGTGCCCTTGGTTGGCACAGAGCTGGTAATAAAATGGGCACTTGGCACAGTATTTGCTCTGATCTCATGATCTGGATTTTCCTGAGCCCTACTTTTGTATGCCACAGACTAAAACTTCACCTTTAGTCTTGACTGCAAAGATATGCATACAACTCTTGGATAAGTCATACGAGTATATACAGGCATTTAAGCATTTTACCCACTGTCAACTAGGGAGTTATTTTAATGTAGATTTGTTTTTATGGGACTCCTGCTGCAGAAATTTGTCTCCTTTTCATAAGAAATTGTTCACAGAACTTGGGGACATAAGCCTTTGATACCTCCTGGAGTTCCTTTTCATTACAAACAGTAACTAGCCCGAGAGTAGTCATTACGATTGGCATCTGCACACCATGGTGGTTGCCGGTTAAGAGAATAAGCCCCAGCAATCTCCTGGTTGTACCATTTCTTTCAAATATACTTTTGAATTCTCCTTGCCAAATGAAAAAAAAAATGTGTTCTTGAATGTTTATATTTCAAAACTTTTCTTTTTCAAGGAAAAAAAATGAAATCATAGCTTGTATGTAAGACCCTTTCTTCCCCCCCATTCTCAAACCCTCGCCCAGTGGTACCATTACAAGTTAACTTTGGTTTGATTCTGCAGGTATATAACAGAGTTTGTAAACCTAGGCAATGTTTCAGCTCTACGCACTTTCAGGGTACTGAGGGCTTTGAAAACTATTTCGGTAATCCCAGGTAAGATGGCCCGGGGTTGGTGTTAGGTGTTGGGTTAGGGCCCTGACGTGACGTATTGTACTTTTTTGTTTTGTTGTGGTTTTTTTTTTTCCTTTGGTGTTTGTGTTTGTGTCTGTGTTTGTCATTTGTGTCTGTGTGTGACCTCCCTTACTACAGATATGTGACAGAGTTTGTGGACCTGGGCAATGTCTCAGCGCTGAGAACATTCAGGGTTCTCCGAGCTTTGAAAACTATCTCTGTAATTCCAGGTGAGAAAATTTAAACACAAGACTGACTTTGCCTCATCTCCTTTTCCCCCTCCATTCATTTTGTTCACAACATTCTAACTCGGTGTCAGCCCAGTTGCTATGGCCTTGCATTCCGCATGTTTTTACTGGGAGACGTTCTTTGGAATGGCCCTTCGGCCTTTAGGCACTTTCTCCGACAGTGCTTGCCAGGCATGCAGCCCCCATTCCATCCATGCGTTTGAAAAAGCACGTGCTTAAGACTCATTTGGATTTTATAATATCTGAAAAAATTGTCGGAGAGCTAGCTTTCTCTTCGAATATAAATCATTTGCTTCCTGGCCTCATGGAATTACAGTAATTTTAACATTCACCATCATTCCATTGCTTGTGGTTTCTAGGCTCCCTATCGCATGGTTTGTTGATGGGATGTTACTTGGACAATTATGCTTTTATTTTTACTGTGTTAATGGAATTATTTAATCACAGACGAGACCTACCTAGTAGCTAGTTCACTAACTAGTCCAGTATTATAGAAAAATTTAAGAGCCTTGGAGTTAGTGAACTGAACTTTAATAATCACTGTCCATCATGTTCTGTTGCTATCTGTTTTACTGGAGTAAGAACCAGTAGACATCTACTGTACATACATTCAGAGACCATTGTCAAACATGAATCGCAATGAAAGCTTATGCAGGTGCTGTTAAAAAAAAAATCAAGGTAAGATAAAATTCATCTAAAGGTATGAGCGAAAAAACGTATAGAAATTTGAGAAGAAAGATAGGCATCAGTGGGTAGTTGAAAGGTAGTTGATTGACAGTCTCTTTAAAATGTTTGCTTTTTTCTTTCTGGTCCTGATTGACCTAGCCCAGTAGTTCTTTTGAAGGTTTTGGATCCTTTTGAGAATCAGATGAAAGTTCACAGATCCCCCCCTGAAGCCCATCTGTGGACCCCAGGTTAAGATCCCTTAATTTAGTTTAAGTCCTTGCTACTGGATAATACTGACCTATCTTTTTAAAGACCAGCCTTTGTGTCTAGTAGGAAAGATATTTTCAGTAGTCTTGTGAGCCTGGCATATACTGGCAGTACCATGGCAGAAGTCAACAATATGTTGTTGCTGATTGGACTTTGGTTGTATTCAGGGGTTTTCTGGGAAAAGAGCAGACTTTTCTCTGAAGTTTTTTAGAAACAGAAGCGTCCTATTCCTGGCATCATGTGGCTCTTCCCCTTGTGGCTGACTCAGAAATCTTCCTCTTTAACTCTTTCAACATGATCTAAATATCAGGTACCAGAGGGAAGCACAAAGGTTGAATCCTAGAGAGGACAGACTTAGCATGTGGCTTACCGAGAACCCAAGGAAGGTGAACCTCAGTTTCTCCATTTACAAATGTGGGCCATGAAGTGGCCAGTAATGGAGCCCTGCTGAAAATGAGTTCTTTTATTTTTAGCCATGGTACCTTAGTCCTTATCAACCAGAAGCTGGGTGTCAGTTGGACTATATCCTCCTTGGCAAAAAACTACAGCCCTGACTTATCAAGGTTTAGTCCCTAGCCGTTTTAAATCCGTTTGACAGAAAGCCCAGCTCATTCTCACACAGGTCATTGATGGCGGCCTGGTCCTCAGGCAGGCCCTGTCTGGTTGTTTAAGGCATCTGGAGCACCACATCTTTACTTTAGTTTTTCCTCTGGTCTCTTTCCTCCTCTGGCCTCTTTTAAATATGATCCCGTGTTTTCTGCTCGCCTCCCCCAACGTACTCCGCCAGGCATCTGTCTCTTTATGTTCTTGTGATCTCAAAACTTCTCTTCCAGAATTAAATTGGAAAGCTGTGTTCTGTTCACTAACTAGGGCAGCAGATGCTATCCCTGGTCTAGCTCTTAGCTTCTGTCTCTGTGCTGTGTGGTTAACTTCTGACCACAGCATTACTGCGAGATAGCTCTTGACTGATGACACATTATTCATCCTTAATACTCTAGTAACATATATATAAATAAACACAGTGCCCGGCCCATAGTAGTGCTCCACAAATGATTGTAGTAGTAGCAGTTAGTATTATAAAGAAGAAACATAAACCCAAAGAAAGGATTTGTATCAAGATTTAAACATCAGCTTCACAATCTGAAATAGATTCCTGGATTCCTATTTCTATAATAGAAGCACCCCCAGATGAGCTGGCTTTGGGAGGTAAACTGAGATGGAAAGGAAGTTTTAAGGGATAATAAAGCCAATAATAGATCACTATCAGTGAAGGTGTAATTGATACTTGAATTAAATTGTGACTTTTAATCCCAAATTCTTTTGCTCCCCATTCTACCTGGAGTTAGTGAGAGAAATCCAGAATACTTGCTGTTCGGTAAATGATGTCTTCCTCATGAGAGACTTCCGTCATCCCATGTAAAATCCTCAACTTGTCTGTCGTGCTTTCTCCCTTAGAGGGCTGTTGTCCTGTTCCTACCTGCCTGTTACACAGGCCTTCTTCCGAGGTGGGAGGACCAGTGCATGAGTCCATAGATCTGGGCCATCTCGTGACTGGAATCTAAGTCATTTCTTTTTTCTTTTTTTCCCCCTAAGATTTTATTGGGGAATTGGGGAGGGGAACAGTGTTGGGGAATTGGGGAAGGGGACCAGCCAAGTTGTTGTTCTTCAGTCTTCATTGTGGAGGGCCCCAGTCGCCATCTGGCTGCCCGCCGGCAGCTCGTGGCCTCTAAGCTCAAGGTGCTGTGTTCAATCTTAGTTGCGGGTGGGCGTAGCCACCATCCCATGCAGGAGTCGAACCAGCAGCCTTGTTGTTAAGAGCACACGCTCTATCCACTAAGCCATCCAGCGGCAGCTCAGCTCAAGGTGCCGAGTTCAGTCTTAGCTGCGGGTGGGTATAGCCCACCATCGAACAGGCAATCTTGT